ACCGTTACATACCTCGTTACAGACCCACCCCCAGCCCGGGCCAGCGACCCCCCTTTTTGCCGCAGCTTGGCTTGTGTGAGCTGTGGAGGCACGCTTTGCGTCCTGGGCTTTGCTTTGCCTCGTTACCGAGCTCGTTACATAGCCATCACATACCTCGTTCTGCTGCGCTACATTGTGCTACTGATACTGCTTGTCAGGAAATGCTTGTCCCGTTGCAGACCTGCGTAACAAGGACCTCCGTTACAGACCTCCGTAACAAGATTCGTGGCGCGTCGCGCGTTGCAGACCCCTAAAAAAAAACATGGCCATGTATATACATACATAGATGTTCAAGAAGGCCATGTTGCACATGCCCTTTTGCTGCCCGGCGAAACCGAATTGCACGCGGCCCCTGTAAGCTGCTTATTCAAGTCGTGTGACTGTCCCGAAGAGTGTTTGCATGTACTTCTCTTGGGCCACAGGAATTCACGTTAACATGCTGTTTAAACCCGTAGGTCAAATACACACATGTCCCTATACCGATGCAACACATCATGAAGCTTGCCCTGTTGAATTTCCTTGACATCTTGACTCTTTGCCAGAGTCTCGCGTTCCTCCTTGCGCAACATTGCCATTGGAGGGAGGGATCACAGGCCCGTGACGAAGGGTTTGTATGTCAAGTTTTCGAATGATGCGAGCGTGGCACTTCTTTAGCTGATTTGGTTGGTTTGGGTTTCAAACCCAGGGTGAAAGCATGGGAGAGAGGTTCTGACTTCCTATGTCCAACACTGATTTGGAGCCAGAGGAAGGCAAACTGTGAACACGTCATGGCTCGACATAGCCCTTAGTGGCCCTGAATGGTTCTTCCTGGTTCTTAATGCATCTCAATGGGCCATGTGTCGTTGTCGGTCCTTCTTTCATATCCTCACTATTGGCCTGCAGGAAGATCTTGGAGAATCTTGGCCCACGCCAGTGAATCCCAAAATGCATCAGAATGAGTGGTGTCCCTTTGGTGTAATACAGCGACAAGGCTACACAACATGCAAAAAGTCATGACACTTTGGCAGGAGCTGAAGAAGCATGAGGTGCAGGTCTTCTCTGAGAGCGCAGGCCAGCGCTTCCCCGTGTTTTTGGCGTTCTGGGCGGCTCCCAAGAGGTGGGTGGTTGAGCGGGGACCTTCTTTGTGGGATCGTGGGTTTCTTGAAAACTGCGAGGGAAGAAGTAGTGGTTGCAAATGGGCAATTCAATCAGAACCCATGGCTCTGTGCAACTAAATTTTTGGCTGTTGGAGCCAAGACTCTTTTGGAGAGACTGACAAGCCATGTGTCGAATTTCACCAAGCATCCGGCGATCAGCTAATTCCTTCGTCTTCCCACCAACGGGCGATTGAATGAGAAGCCAGGAGGCCCGAGTTGTTCGTCCTCCAATCATAAACAACTCGTTCGAGACAGCGAGGGTGCGACCGGAAACATATTTCAAGAGGGCAAAGTGGAATCAGAAATGACCATGAGTGGGGCCATTTTGAGCCAAGCCCACGGCTGAAGGGGAGAAGAAGAAAGCGTCGCATGGGCGACACTGCGAATTCACAGTGGCAAACCGCCTAGCGAAGAGGAGGCCTGGGGTAAAGAGTGAGATAGAGAGACCAGGAGACTGTGGCGCAATGCAAACTGCCGGGGGACGGGGGTTTGCGGCAGTGAAAAATCATGTGCCACCCTCCGACTTGCATCAACCAGCTCTTTTCGGAATAGCCGAAACCGTTCCAGAGATCTTCGAGATTTGTATCGCGGTATGTCAGGGGTCACTTGGGCTTCCCCTTCAAAAGTTGCAATTTACCTGGTGTTGGGGTTTCCCATTGAAACGGCCACTTTTGGAGGTTCCAATTCCAAACCATGGAATTGGAAGTCAACCCTGTCTGGTTTGCACGAAGGTTCCAAGTTCCATGGACGCCTTTCGGCTTTTCGGCGCCTGGCGGCATCTTCCCCATAGGTTCCGACTTCGATTGCCTCGAGCTCGCGCAAGTGCCCTGGGCGCGGAGCTCGGCACGGATTTGCTAGGTCTTACAGAGGCTATGTCACATGGGTGCTCCGTGGATCTGAAAAGTGAGGGACAGATCTACTTTTACTGAAGCTTCAAAATGATCCAACATTTCCAGCAGGCTTTCCGGAAGGGTCCAGGTAGTACAAGCTGCACAAGCAGAAGGGGTTTCCGGCATTTTGGTAGCCAGTGAATCATATATCTCACCCTTGACAGAGGAGCCAAGCCAAGAATGAACGTGAACCAGAATAATGCCTCCATTGTGCAGTTTGCCGCGTTTGTGGGCACCCGTGTTCACGCTAATTTTCAGGAGTGCAGATACGGCATTCCCAGTTTTGTTCGGCCGCTTCTTGCCTTCCTAGTAGGTGGTTTGGATTGGTGGCTTGGAGATTTGAAGCCCTGGTGCTTGTTGAGAGTAAGCGGCAAACCCCCTAAACCTCCAAATCACCGGGCTCCAAACGGTGTAGAGAGTAAAAGGGAAGCCCCTCCAACCGCCAAATCACCGGGGGCTCCAAACCAGCAATTGGAAAGCTGAACTGGGATGCGGGCAGGCGGATGGAATCACCGCCAGGGAGCTCATTGCCTGCTGCAGCCCGGATGAGGACGCCATCTCTTTGAGAGGTAGCACGACCGAGCGCCATGAAGGTTCCACCGGTTGCCGCCATGTGGGCATGGGTCAAAATGAAACCGCCAGGAGACCGCAGAGTTTAGTCCATATTTCCATCTACCATGAGACGTGCCCATGAGCCAGAAGGCGCCGTCAACATCAATCGGCGGAAGGGGTCATGGACCCTCACATGCGCACTTCCTGAGTTCCTGGCCTTGAACACTTTTTGGGAAGACCAGCTGAGTCGCAACCGCAAACTTTGGACCTTTTTTGACCAGTCCACCCAGGAAGTGAGCACGTATTTGTGTATTGCCTTTTCTGGAGGGTAATTATTAATTACCTTTGTTTTTGCGGCCTTAGCAGGAAACCAACCGGAACGCCAAAATTTCCATTTTGGGGTCCCCTACTAGGTCCCCCAGTAGTGCCCTTTTACCCTTTTTTGGGGGAGGGTTCCCCTACTAAAAAATACTACAGAAAAAGGGTACCTTTATTCTAACCTCTCTACTGGAGGACCTAGCGGCCCCATCGGCGATTCGTTGCGCTCTGCTTCTCAGCGCAGACTCGCTGCGCCCGCAGGAGCTACACTTGACTTCGAAGTGGCTCGAGGCCTTTGCCGTCGGAGGGGCTGGATATGGCTTTTGTGGATTCACCCCGGTAGAATATCAAAGCTTACCAAAGCTTACTAAAAGCTTACTAAAAAGGCAGGAAACACGGGGGAAATCCACAAAAAGCGCACCCAAACTGTTTTCTAGACAGGAGGCCCGGAGTTCATTCTTACACTATTTCTATACTTAGGGGAGCAACAATTGGGAAGGATTCATGATGCATCTCTTCCCTTTATTCTCTATCATTTATCAATCAAGGCTATGGCTCTTTTTTCCTTGGAAATCTTCATGTTATTTTGTTATTATTGCATTTATGAGGTTCCAAAGAAAGAGATTGGGAAAATGTAAGCTCAAGACTCGGAATCCAATAGAATTTACTAAGATATGAACAAGAACAAATAACATCATATAGAAACATAATTCCTACAAGATGAAGATGGCTTCTGGAGAGTCTTTCTTCTTCTATAGAATCATTTGCCTTCTTTCCAGATTTCTTCGTATTGTTTGTTTTGATGGATGTTTAGGACACTCTCGGAGAGTTTACATGAAGGAAAGATAATGAATTCCTGAAAATCTCAGTTCATCGCATCCATTAAACGATCCATGATTTGTTTGATTGAACCTATTTGGCGCAGTAGCCCCCAACTTGCGAAGCACTGGCCCAAGCCACTAAGCACAAGCTAATCGAACCCTAGGCCCTTGTATTGATTGAACATCCCCCGGTGGATTTCTTATGGACGACACACAGCACCGTTCTTAAAGGCTTCTGCTGGCTGAAACTCGCCTTGAGAACAACCAGCTCCAGGGCACATCTTTCTCAAGCCTTGTCATGTGCCATTGATGTGTCGTTGCAGCTATCAGGCTCACTTGCCCAACCGACCTGTTGACCTGATTGTTTTTTGTTTTTCTGACTTTGTGAGTCAAGGTCGTACAAGGTGATATCACTTTGTTTGGTCTTTTTGTTGAGGATACCCAGTTGTTTGGTGGCTTTGAAGGGAAAGCAAAAGGCCAACCACAATTTTGCAGGGTCCCAGCAAAAACAAGGGCGATCCGCCCATGCATTTCCAGGGCCCAAACGCGAAGGCGGTACTGTCCGCAGGTGGCTTTGCGGATCCTGCCCTCCAAGTACATGCTGAAGAGCCGGGTCCGCGAGCTGACTCACGACTTAACTTTGAAGCCAATGCGATGAGCCTGTCGGATGCAGCCTGAATCCTTCCCTGCTCCCTCCCATCCCTCCCTCTGGCCTGCCATCCCCCACTAGTCCCAAACAAGTTTGCTGCGTCAAGGTCAGAAACTCTTACTTGCCACGCGCAAGTGATCAACAGGAAGCGCCTTGGCAAACACGCCTTGCCGCAGAATCCCGACAAAAATGGCGCTGGCGCTCGAAGGGCCCAGGTTTTGGTGCCCCCCCCTGTCGGAATCGATTCAGCTTAGTTTGGACCTTCTTGGTGGTTGACCCGAAACTCTTGGTGAACCCCTTCTGGGTGCCTATTAGATAGCAATCGCGCGTGGCTGATCTTCCCAAAACGGGAAACCTCAAGGGGACAGGTAGTTGGCATTCTTTCCCCAGGCCCGCTATTTGATTTGACATAGTTGACACCCAGCCTCCAAGTGCTCAATGAAGAGCCTGAAAACAATTTAGGCACGAGCTGGATTTTGCCGATTCCGATGGAACCTGGGATTTTGTTTGATGTCATGTTACATCCAAAGATTTACCGAATACGGACCGGCCTGACAAAATCCATCTTTTGGCACCCCATGTGGCGAGCTGCGGTAAAATATGCTCGCAAACGATGGAACAACATTGCTAGCATCGTTCTATCGGTGTTATGACGCGCTGCCCAAGGCCGATATAGACACTTTCTGCTTGCGGCCTCGTTCAGCACTGGGTTTGGAGAGGGGATATGACGTGCAACCATGGGACCAAAGTCTCAAGGGGATCGCACAAGGCTTGTCATTGACTAAGTGGTTTGGACGTGGAACTCCGAGTTACGGGCGACGAGTTGCAGAGGGAAAAGCAGGAAGTGAGTTCGAAGGTAGACAACAGGGCTCCAGTTCCAGGACTGTACGAGTTGGTTCCCACTTCTGCGGTTGTTAATCAACCTCTCCTTGAGCTGTGGCATCGCTGTGGGCAATTCTCACAGCCCCGGTTCCGCATCCAGTCTAAATTAAAGCAGGGCAGAAGGAGCGGCTCTGAGCAGCCTGCCTCCGTAGAATCTTGTTCCAAGCTTGGTGGAGAACGATAGTCCAACGACCCTTACAGGTGAAGCAGGGGCCCGGGGTCAGTCTCTTTAGTTGGGACACACGAGTCGCTGCCGAGGATCAACTACCACTACCTCCGCAGCTTTTCGCCCAAGGCACCGTCAGAAGCACCGTGAACACCTGTGGATGCCATGTTGGGAAGCCTCAAACTAAGGAACCCTCCTAAATTGGGTGGTTTCCCTGTAGTATCCCTCATCAACCCCAAAAAGTGGTGTCACCTCAAAAACGCAACCCCAAATCAAGGAACTTTGGGGGCTTGTGTGGAACGGAGCGATTCAGATGATTCAAATTTGTCCACTGTTTCTTGTGGAGTTCCCTTGGCAATGCGAAAAGACTCCAAATAGTGCCGGATGGTGGTTGCGCCTTGCAACTTTAACATAGGGGTGCATGCAGCTTCGTGACAACAATAGGGCCTAGAACCAACAGCCACCACTATCCCCTATTCGTTTCCTTCGGCACGGTAGAAACGCACCATGTTCCATTCAGCATCAGAAACAAGGTGGTCAACCCCTTAATGGGCTTGCCCCCGAGGCAGGATACCATGGGGAGCTTCTTCGTACCTTACTTCTACACGTCACTGTCAATCGCAATTGGCACAGCTTCTGCCGGTATTACTGGCAGCAGGCCACAGTTACCCTAATACGCATATCCTGCCTCCCACATTGCGGGAAACGGCATATTCCTAGTTCCCTCCGCAAATGCATTGTTGATGGAAAGAAGTTCCGTGAAAGTCGGAAAAGTGCAAAGCATCATGAAGCTTGCAAATGTAAGGACCCACAGATTCACCCAGATCTTCTCGCTGAGAATGTCCCTGCGACCATGCCAAGGTTTGCCTCAGTGGTGCGAAGGTTGACCTTTCGTCATTTTTGTTCTCATTTTTTCATCTGGGGACCCCAAGCAAGCGGTTTTCTTTTTGGTTAAATGGAACTGGGGAGCCTGCCAGGCAAGCACAGCGCCCGACGCCAGCCCACTGCAGCGCCTAGCGAAGGATGGGATCCTTCGATGTTTTGGATTCCTGGATTCTGAGGCAAGCGGACGGTAAGAGAATTTCCCAACAAGCTGTCATCATCTCACTATATTTTTGGAGAGTTCTAGAGTTTTTATGCCAGATGGCGTCTCTTCCTGTGTTGTCCTTCGGAGCAGGATGTGGGATCCGATCCCGCAGATTGAATGAAGATCTCACGTCCTATTGGCCTCATTTGATCGAGCCCAATGGATAAATATCGTTGAGGCAGATGTAAGGCCAACAAGGCGTGATTGGGGCAAACTTAAATGCCCATATGGGAACCCAGTCGATATTGAATCAATCGACTAGGGGCACATTTAGGTTTGAACATGGCAGCTCAACTTGAACACTTTTTCCACGACAACGCATGATCAAAACTGCACCTTTGTGGTGAAGAAAAAACGCAGTCCCAACAAGCTACATCGTACGGGCAGGGGATACATTAGGGGGAATACCGTGCCCTTGTTCACAGCGAACTTTAAAGGGAACCCAAAAGGAAACCAACATTTCAGTTGTGACTGGAAATGCTGGGGAAACTAAAACACTCCAAGTTGGAACAGCAGTGCCGTTGCAAGCAATGAAGCAATGCTAGCGCTTGGCCATGGAATTCGGCTCAGGGACACGGTACCTGGAGAACATCGCCCGGTCACCTTTCGGGTTCCACAGACACGTGCGAGGGATCAGTTTGCTTGTTGCGTTCTGAAATGCCAAACATTTGCATTCGTCTCGGTTTCGTGTTGGTTTTGCATTTTGCCCTGTTTGGTTGCATGGTTTTGGTATTTGTTGCACACCCCTGTTGGTTTCTTGTCTTCTTCTTGGTTTCGTTTTGGCATGTGTTGGCTCTCTTTTGGCTTTTGACTTCGGATGGACCAACTGTCGGGGTCTCCCCAGTCATTGTGACGAAACCCAGGGCAAGCCTCTTTATGGAAAGCCACTGGGTCCTCCAGAGGTCCAGCATGTGCTTGTCCATCTTTGCGCCAATACGTAGTCCTGTGCATTATGGCTTTTTGGTTGGATCTTTGGACTTTGACTTTTTCCGGGAAACAGTGGATGTTCCTTTGGACCCACAAAAGGTGATTTTTTGCAGAGGGGTCAACAGCAATGGCACGAGCCAGCGAGCCATTTCTCCTGTAGGAGCACCCATGTGTTCCGCCCATTCCGCCGTCCCCAATATTGTACTTAGGTTCTTCGTCAGACCTTCGCTCAACGCGTTTGTTTTTTTACAAAACAAGGCCAACAACACAATATGTTTAACCAAACATAAAGAACACGAACCAAACAAACAAACACGGAAACAAACACACAAACAAACAAGCAAACAAACAAGCAAGCACAGATGCATTCAAACAAGCTTAAGCAAGCAAACAACAAAACAAGCAAACAAACAAACAAACAATCAATCAATCAATCAATCAATCAATCAATCAATCAATCAATCAATCAATCAATCAATCAATCAAACAAACAAACAAACAAACAAACAAACAATCAAACAAGCAAACAAACAAACAAACAACACACACACACACACACACACACACACGTGCGCACTTTGGCCATAAAGCCGCTGGATAGGCGCCTGGCTGCGGCGCGTTGCGCCGCGCCTGCGGCACTGTGGCAACCTGCGGGAGATGCAGCTGCCGTGCCGGCCGCTTTGGTTCGTTTTCGGGAGGGGCAGGGGGAAAAAAGCAGCCTATGCATAGGTCAAAAGCGTGGTATGCCTGTAATGAACCAAAGTGGCACCGCTGCCCTCAAAACACACACGCACGCACACAATCACACAGACAGACAGACAGACAGACCGACCGACCGACCGAGCGACCGACCGACCGACTGACCGACCCACAGACAGACAGACAGACAGACCGACCGACCGACAGACAGACAGATGGACAGACAGAGGCACGGACACAGACACACAAACAGACACACACAGACACAAACAAACACAAACAGACACAGACACCCACCCACCCACACACACACACACCCACCACCCCCAACCACGCACCCACCCCCTTCCCACCAACACACACACACACACACCCGCGCCCGAACAAGCAACCACACACCCACGCACGCACGCTCTGCCGCACGCACGTGCACGCATGTTTATGCGCTTTGAAGTCATTCGGTGGTTGGGCCAAAGCTTAAGTTGTACAAAGGTAAAAGCGGATTTGACCTGGGAACTTGCTACAGCATCGCCTTCTTTTGAGCAACTTTCGGGTTTGAAACGAAGGACACCCAGATTATTACTTTGGATATGTTGGATGAATAGGGGGGTTCAACCGATGTCGGATTCAGATCACTGTTCAAGGAACCCCCCCTAACAATCCACCCGGTTTTTCAGGGGTGGGCGCGGGCAACGGCTGACCTCAGTTTCCACCTTCCCCCCCCCCCTCAAGAAAACAGCGTAAATGACATCCCCCCCCTGCCCTTTGCGCCAGTATACATGGCCCACCCCGCTAGTACATTGCAGTAAGTTCTCAGCACTCCCGCTAGTACGCCTGTGAACCATCCCTCCTTGTGGTGTGAGCCGTCCCTCCTTGTTTTCCTATGGCTTCGCCCCTTATCGAACCAGCAAGATGCTCACTTCCGGAGTTCCTGAACTTTAGTCACTGAATGTGCGCAGACCAATTTAGTTGCAAACAAGAAGTTCGGTAGAACATTTTCTGGCCAATCCACTGAACATGAGGGTTTGGTTGGGGTCAGTTTCGCTGCACGCACCACGACCGAACCGTCGGCCTCGCTCTTCAGGCCGGGTCGTGGCCAGTAGCTTCTCCACTGCCGTGGCGGGCGCTGTGGTGTGCTTTGCGGCACTGCTGGCGGCGGCGCTCGGGCAGCTGAGCCTCGTGTGAATCGAGGTGTCACGGAAACGTACGGGGAACCCACCCTCTTCACTGTTTGTTAGGATGTGTTTTGGCATTTGCTTAGGTTTTGTTGGGGATCTATTCATGCTTAATATGGTCAGTGGGCTGCACAAAACGCATTTCTTGTGGGCCAGTCCTGGGCGATCTTAGCGGGCTCACGTGACTGGAGCTTACCTTTGATACTTATTTCGGTCCAGAATTGGCAGCCACTTGGATGTTCCAACATGTGTGTTCCAACTGTGGGTTCCCATAGCTGCCACCAGTGTCTTGCCACGACACAATGGATCAGAGGCCCAGACCATTCAAGAAGATAATGTTGGAAGCTAGTGGCAACCCATGATTCATAAAAGCCTTTAGTTCACTACAGAAAGGCATCCCATGCTAGATGGGATTCTTCTCATGCTTGGGGTACCCGCGTCCCTAAGATTTCCACCAGGTGGAATGACCCGGGGTCGACAAGTAGTTCAAACCAAACAAACCATCGTTGTTACAGGACGGCCGGGAAACTCAGGGAAATCCCTAGATAGACGGACTGGTGACATCTTGACCTTAGTTCAACCGCAATGCAGTTTGCTCATTGCTAGACTTAATCTTACCCTTTGAGCGCTTTTGGCCTTTTTGGTTTTCCTTCATGTCCCTAGACTATGTTCAATTTATTTCCTCTGGGTTGAAAGTAAATCTATACATTCTGGTTTTCAACCGACGTATTCGCAAATGGAGGGTTCCATTTCCACAGGCGCCGCGCGTTGATACGCTCGGCGTTTGTTTTTCCCAGGATGCGGCTCTTGCCCTTCCGTGCCTTGGGCAGACGTGTGGCTGCGGTCCAGCTTATTTTAGCGGCAATTCAGCTGCGGCTGAATGGGTGTTTTGGATTGGTGGGATTTGGAGATACCCTCCACAGTAGCGCACAGGACTCTTTCCAGGGCAGGATTTCACGCGGGATTGGCTGTTTTTTTGGGAGTACCCCACAATCCGACCCTAAGTATTTAGGCAAACTCTCGCAGTATCTGAAGCAGTTTTTAGCCAGGAACCTTCTTTTGGCATGGGGACCCGCAAGGGGGCAACCCTTTGAAAGGAGTGAGTGGAGGATTGTGAGTTTGATGCAGGGTCCCCCCTTGATCTCAGAGGGTCAACTCTTTGACACGAGTGCACGGAGGAGCCAAACAAAATGGGGGGGATCCGGGATCGGCCACTGGGCTCAGCTGAGCTGAAAGGACCCAGAGGTACCACGAATAGCTCCCCGAATGCAGCCCGGCGACACCATGGTTGTCGCAGGGCTTCCTATATATATATACAAAAATATTCCCCAAAATGAACTAAGCGTCGCTTCGGCGGCCAACTTCAGAGGTGAGTTCCTTCAAGTGAGCGATACCCTCCCACCAACCAAAACGGAACACCGCCCCCATTTAGAGGATATGTTCCTTTTGGTAAGGGGCCTGTGCACTTTCATGTTTGTTGGTGAGAAGGAATTTCAATGGCAAATCTGGAGAGCCCAGCCCTGCCAGTTCAGACTGGCAGGGCCAGCTTGGATTCTCCCAGGAGACGACCCAGCGTGGCCCTTGGCGAGGCTCCGCGCGCAGAGCCTTCTCACTGGGAGTTCAGTGGATGCTGTTTCAGACTACGAGATGGCCCATACCTCCAAAGGTAAACCCCAGTCAATTTGCCTCTGAAATCATACCATGAAGGCGTATGTGGCCCGAAAGGCTCGGCTTTGTCTCAGGACGCATTTGGGTCCACAGGCTCAATATTAGCCTATGCAAGGCTGAAGTGCAATGCTGCTTTGGGGTTTGGCCTGGGGTCTATGGGAGAAATGTTGGAACTTTTTGCCTGAGGAACATGTTTGGTCGAGTTTGCCTTTTAGACCGGCCGTAGTGAAATAAAAACTCATATTTTTGCAGAAAAACGGGACGTGAGACGAGGCAAATTGGAAGTGGGTTCTGAAGCCAACCCCCTCACTAAGATCTCAGCATCCCGCCAAGTTGTTTAGGAGTGAGCATGGGCCGCTTGCGTTGGGCCCATCTAATCTTCCAACGTCCGTTTGGATAGCGACATATGACCGTGGTTCATACGGATGTGTTTGAAGGCCTCCCAACTTAGAACTGATTCCTAAAATGTGGATGCCACCGTTGGATGGAGTTTCAAAGGAGGCCTAGAGGAAAGCAAGAGACACCCACGTCAGCTCTATTGTAGCGGGCCGCCGTTTGCTTATATAGTTTTGCCGGCGGCCTACACATTGCCAAGAAGGAACCGGGGCCAGGCAACCGCTCACTTGATTGCAGACTCCTGGCGCTCACGCCAAAGCGCATCGACCTTTTCACATTGGAGATGTTCCACTGTTGGGCCGTTTTTGTACCTCCACACCCTTAGGACAAATTAGTAAAAGCTGGCTTATGCGCACCCTTGCCTGGAATACAATTCACCCTTGCCAAACATATCCGTCCCTTTGGTTGGGTTCAACAACTCTCCATTTCGCTTCGAAGCAATTTTTTTCGCAGGGTCTCACGGCTACCAGCATGGGCCGGAATCTTTTTTGTTGGCAACACCTCTGTGTGCGCAGGCTCTTTTTTGCAGTCCTGCTGCAAGGCTGGCCGGCTGTGGTGTCAAGCTCGGGATTTGTCGGGTGCTTGCAATGGCCAGTTGCTTGGAGCTCAACGTTCCCATTCGACGTTGCTCGTGTTACGTCAGGCAAAGTCTTTATCTTGCGGGGAATCCCTGCTTAGCCATGCGACCAACTGTTTCGTGTGACATGTCCCGGAACCTGTTTAGTAGCACCCGTTTCCCTTTTGGCGAGTTACCCACCAATGCTCACCCCCAAAAGAGCTCAGGGGCTCCATTTTTTCTTCCAGGGTCACTGGTCACTGGCAACTGGATGTTACGATGGGTGTGTCTTCTTTCAGGGGACCCTCCAAAATGGTGGTTTCCTTTTGCTTTCCCTTTTAAACCACCTCAATAAGGGTACCCTCAAAACGACATACCCAGACGGCATGTTCAGGGCGCACCTAAGCACGAGAGGTCAGATTCGCAAGTTCCTGGAGCTGATTGTGCTCATCGCGCGTCTGCGATGCTTGGGCAATGATTCAATGTTCCCTGACGGCTTGGGAACAGAAAGGGCATGGATATGAGGTGTGGGTCAGAAAAATGGTACCCAACATAGCTTGCAGTGGTAAATGGAGACAGGACTAGAACCTGCGGTCTGGTTTGCTCTTGCCCCGTGCCCATACATGCTTCTTATTTTCTAGCTGCCCCTCTTGACCCCCGGGCTCACTCCGGGGATGTTAGTGTTTTCGTGGCCAAACTTGAGCCTAAGGCGCGGAGCGGCCTGCAGTCGTGCTTCGAAACTCCACGAAGAAACACCCTGCTTTTTATTGTTTCTCTTTTTTTGTTTGTTTATATATATATATATGTCTTAGTTTTGATTTTGTTTTTTTCTGGGGGAAAGAGGGGGGTGGGCCACACGTGCAGCCAGGAGTACAAACAATTCAGTAGTTTGAAGACACTGGTTTTGAGTTTTTGTTTTTCTTTTCCGGAGCCTGCGCACAGTTACGTCAACAATCGTCTAAGAGAGGGCTATCGAGTGGTCAAAGATCCAGTCGTCCGAGGTGTTATCCTTTGCTTGGCCCGCTCCAGCGAGTTCTTTGGCTTCCTGTCTCTTGGTCTTTGCGCGAGGGGGGGGGGGGCGGCTTGGTTTGGCCGCTGCGTGTTGTTGGGATTTACGGGCTGGCAGGGTATGCACTTGCAGGTTGCCACTGAACTCCTGCAGGGCTTCACAGTTGATGCTTCGTTACGTGCGGTGTTCGTCCCTATGAAGCAATCAAGCACTCAAAGATACTTAAAGTAATACTTGCCTAGTGTCGAGTTCTTTAGACCATCGAGCTATATTGAACCAACCCACGCATGTTGCAGCAAGAAGTTTCATAGAACTGTGAAGGCACGCAACAAATGGTATCCTTTCAACAAATGTATCCAATCACCAACGACCAGAAAGAAGATACTGGCTCTCATCTCCTGGTCTTAGGGAGTGTGGCAGGGCTTGCAGGGCAAGCGTTTGACTGCTTTGGGTTCACTTGTTTGTCATCGCGATTGCTGTGTTCGCATATTAATGCATGCCTCAGCCCAGGTGATGTATCCTGTTGTGGCATCCGTTTGGCCGTCTGATCGTGACTTTCTTGCTTAGAGGCCGAAAGGTTTCAACATGTTTTTACTTTCAGGGCACTTCAATGGAAGATTCGGCTTTTCCTTGCCTCGATCGCCTCCTCATTTTGGTAAAGGGCGAGCAGTACAGCCAGGCAACTCAGGAACTGAGTGATGGACACTGTGGCTAGTCTTCCATTGGTTTGGCCAGGGCATTGTGGGGACAGCCCGAACTCCCCACAAAAGCAAGGGTGCAAAAACTGGCTTTCCAATATCCTGGGGGCAAAGAAAAGTATCCGCTCCCGTTTGTTCTTTTCGGCTTTTTGGGTTCCTTCGGAACTGCGAGCGGCCGCTCGAGCCAAGGTTCTTCCCTTTCGTGGTGATCGCGAAGAAGGTCTTGGGCTGGAACGAGGGCAGCTGGCTGTAGCCCGGCCAATGGATTTCGAATCATAGGTGTCCTTTTTAGGTTAGTTTGGTTGAAATAGATGGCACTGGTTTAGATTGGGTTTATTCCATTTACTAGGGAAACCTAGCTCATCTATGTTTTTAAAAGGCCACCTATGGTTTCTAATCATTTCCTTTGGGGTTGCCCAGATAGGCTCCGTGGTTCGGAGCTGCTGGGCTTGGGTTCCAGAAGGGTTCCGGGGCTTTGGGGATGCCACGGGCTTAGTTTAAGCTTTCGCCCTTATGGCCCTTGTTCCTTCTTTGTTTGGGTGGAGGCTCCCACTAAGAATCGAACTGGCCAAACAGAGGTTCCCCCTTTGTGGCATCACTCGGCAACTGGGTAAATTTTGTGACAAATTGCAAGAAGGAGACCAAAAAGGGGTCAGTGCCCAAAAGTATGCCGCTAACAGTGATGATGTTGGCGTCCATTTCAATCTGCAAGGGAGCAAAGCCGTTTGCCTTTCTTGTTGGTTCCTTGATTAACTCATCCAAAAAAAGCGGAAAGCGGCAAGCTCCTTTCGGGAGGTTGGTCCTTTTTGAGTTCATCCACTTGTTGGCTGAGTTTATGGACTTGAGACTTTTTTGGGGCAGACCGTCGTGGCTAACAGTGAGACCGTCGTGGCTAACAGTGTGGTTACTTGTTGTGGCCACAGTCCTCTGAAGAAGTGAGAGGCCGTTTGCCAAAAGGGGCGGGGGCAGCTGCAGGCTGGGCTGCTCCTGCGAGTCCAGCAGGCCGAGTTTGCTCTCTTGGTGCTGGGGCCTCAAAGAGCCTCCCCCCTCCCCCACGCCCTAGTCCACCAAAACAAGAGGGCCTAAGACATGAGAATTGCAAGTAGGACAAGTGAAACAAGAAAGTCAGCCCATTTTCGAGGATGGTGTGGTATGTGGTTCGGAGGAACCCCCCGCTTTCAGGTGGGGGGGGTTTTGAATTTGAAGCATAAGGTAGAATTCGATGGCAGGAAGGTGAGCACAAGCTTCCGATGTTCGGACTGCACTGGTTGCGAACTGCTTCGGCATTCGGTTGCCAGTTGTTCAGTAGCGCCCTTAGGCCTCTGTTCCCTTTTTGTGCGGTAGGCTTCGAGTAAGCATCCCTTTTTTCGCAGGAAGAAGCCTGGCAGCTTGACAACTCGTTGAACCATCTATGAACAGCTGGATCAGTTACCCCTTTTCCGGGCTCAATGTTGCCATCCTCAACCCTTCCTTTGACTCCATGTTCCCCTTGTTTGACCCCTTCTTTGACCCCTTTCCTGCTGCAAATGGAGTCGACCGTCGGCCGCGAAAAGCTTCTCTTTTTCACCAGGGTCGCTGGCCAGCGAGGACCTCTCCGCCCTTTCTCCCCCTTTCTAGATGCCGTAGTGCTTTCCTGCCAGTCGCCAAGCCAGCAAAATCGATTTGTGTGGGGGCGTCCGAGCCTGTGCACGCGGAGAACCAGAAGGCTTCTGCGAGCTTCAAGACTAGATGGCGAGTCATTTGTCTCACTTCTGGCCAGTTTCTGCACTTGACACCAAAGTTTGTTGAAGAAGTTTGTAATGATGAACAAACACCCAGGCTCTGTTTGGTCCTTCTTGTGCGCTCGGGACCTTCAGCCTAAATGCGTTCCTTGGGCTTGTCAAAGTTAGAAGTTGGCCTTCCATTTGTTTAAGCCACCTTGAAGTGAACAGTAGGGTTTCTCATTTTGCTGCTTTGGTTTCCCTTTAAAGCCAGAGGGCATCTTGAGGGTGGGTCTTCCCTCGTGCCTTGTTTCCAAGGCCCTGTGCGGGCCGCCGAAGGCGACATGGCTGGAAGTGGATCGCCAGCTTCCGTGACCGTATTATTGGGGCAGCTAAGTCCAAGCACAAGATGCTTGAGATGATTGCCTTTTTTGGTTCATGCCGTGTGTGTTGAATCTGTGCGGTTCTTATTGATTGGGGGCAAAACGCGGCGCGCTTTGCTGACATACGAGGTGTTGGCTCCATTCTGGCCAGCACTGACATGTTCCTAATCTTGCGGGGGCTTTACAACATTGTGACATTGCAATATCGGCTTGTTATTGTGATTTGCCAATTTCTTGGCCAACTCACCTACGGGGCAAGTCGAGGGCATCCACGCTTGTGGATTCCGAATTTCCGGTTTGGGAGTTTTGCAGGCTATCATTGTTCCGGAGGACTGCGATGATGAGAGGTGCCACTGCGTGTTTGTGGCGAGTAAGCCTGGTTGCACATGACTCGCTGGCAAAAAAGTTTGACTTGGCAAGGGCAGTTTGTACAGGGGTAATGGTATTGCCAGTCCAAATTGCTTTGGGCCAAAAGCCTCCAAAGGCGTGTGTGTGCAGCTGTTGTGTCCTTGGTTGTGTCGGCTAAATTGGGCTCGAAGGCTCGTTTCTACCTCCAGGTAGGGATCAGCAAGAGTGAGCTAACATGCCAGTTCAAGCTTCGGTCTTGGCGATTCCGGCTGAATCCGAACTCGCCAGGCGGATTGGGGTTTGGGGGTTCTTGTGGCGGATTGGGGTTGTTGGTTTGTTGGTTTGTTGGTTTTGTTGGGTTTGTTTGTTGGCGGATTTGGGTTAGTTACCTTCCTACCACGATTGGAGGAGCACAGTGGACCTTGTGCCACCTGCTAACCTCCCAGTTCAGCCAATTGGATCTGAGGCCTGCTGGTCTGCCTCAAGGCTGGGCCGAAAAGCAACACGAGCCATCCACCAGTTGGGTTTTATGGGAGGGGAGTCCAGACAGACGGGAGATCAACCCCGGTGAAAGCATGAAAAAGATGTCCAAAAGAAAGCTGACTCAGACCAGGGAGGGGAAGGTTTGAATTGGCGGGCCGACAGGGTTCCTTTGGCTTACGGTGAGCTTCAGGTACTGGCTTGGAGGCCTATGTGAGGCATCCCGAAATAGCTAAAGATCAGGACTTGGGAATACATTTCCCCAGTTGCCCGGTGATTTCCCACTAAATTGGGAACGGTTTCCCATGGTCATTTGCGGGCCAGGAATATTGATCAACCTCCCTTTCGAGGTTCACGATGCTTACGCAAAGTGGGCCATAAACAAATAATCCTGCTAGTTGGGCACAGCTGAGGTAGGTTGAGGACCCATCCAAATGGGTGGACACCGCCCTCCTCTTAAAAGCTAGGAAAGGGTGGTTAAGGGTTCAATGATCTCCAAATTCGAGGTGATGCATGCGAATTGCCAAGTTGTAGCGCCGGAAATTCTTCCTGTTTAAGCTAGCAGGCGACGAGGAAGCCTTGTGCAACGATGCCGGGTGGATGAGTTGATGAGAGCCGAGGTTGCTCAAGTTTGAACATTTTAGCTCATCAACAGACCATGGTGATGGGTTAGCGTGTGTACCTTTCATTGAGGCGTGCCCCTCATGTAAAGCCACATGGGGCCACAAAAACTTGAGGCGTCCTTTTTACCCCGGAGAGATGCAGCAACAATTTGTTTACATGAGTGATTGGTTCCAAAAAATCCAAACCATGACCAACCGAGAAGGATGGGGAAAATTGGTTCGGTTACCCTCGCCTTCCTGACAAATATCTACCCTTGTGCCAGGAACTGCTGGAGCCTTCCCCCACAATTCCTCCCCCCTTCCCTTGTCCCCATCGGATAGAGGCCTTAAGCCTCCGAGGCTGTCCAGTACGTGCCGACCATGCCTGGGCTGGGCTTTCTGAGCATCATCGCAGCTGGGCTTTCTGAGCATGTTTGCTCGAAACCCGGTAGCGCGGGGTGATTGCCAACTTTCGGATGTTACTGGAACTATTTTATGGGTGAAGAAAATTGATTCGCGCGCCAGTGGGGGATGCGAATTAAGGCCAAGCACACCCAGCAGTAGAGGATACTACTCTTGGGGCACATGCCGGGTTCCATTCTAATTTCCACGGTGGTGATGCACAATTTTGCAACTATTTTCCAAGTCGGGCTTTGTAACCAGACCAACAGAGCTGCCTTTGGGCACCCACAGGCTGGGTTTTGGATGTTTGTCCCCGTTTTGCACACAGTTCCCTTGGAAACCTTGTTCGTTCGCTCGCAAGGACTGGTTGTGAGATTGCGATTTCTCTCCCGCCACGCACGCTAGATGGTTGGGTGCACAAGTTGCCGTTTAAAAAGGCAAGCAATCTATCAAAGGAGTTGTTCACACTTCCATGTTCGTCTGTGGAAGGATGCCACGTGGCAAGAACGTGTCCGTACATTTGTGACTCGCGTTTCGGCGAGGAACAGTTTGTTGGCGGTTGTCAAAGGAACCCTGGGCGAATCGATGCTCCCTAGGTTTGACACATAGCAAAACGCACATGTTACGCTACTCCTATTGAGAAGCGATGTCCATCACGCTATTTGGAGAGGTTCTGCCAGTTGCTCAGGTAGATCCGGTGGTGAACGTGGCTTGGATGCACTTGCAGCTCGGACCCTTGTGATTTGAGCTGTCCCTTCTGACTGAGTAGGCCAACGAGCGTCCCAGGAGATATGAGGTGTCTGCCCCAGAAAAGGGCGATCTGTCAGAGTTTTGGAATGTATCAGTCTGTGCAGGCTACCGCTACTGTTTGCATGGAATCATCATGCCCGGTGCCGCAATCCTCAGTGCCACTTGTGGCCTCAGAAGAGTCTTCAACTCTGGCCCTTGGCAAGAAAGGGGGGGGTCCGCGTTTCGAACCCCGGCTTCTTGGTATCTCAGCCAGGGCCGAGGGAATTGTCCAAACAAGAGCCCGCATGGAAGAGCGCTCTGGGCCAAGAACCCTTAGCACGGTACCTCGCAAACTAGGGAGAGCCAGATAAGAGGCACACGACTTGTCCGAAGCCCACCCTTTCACCATGTTCCGGTTCTGGCCCATTTAACGTCGCTCAGGTGAACCAAACCCTTCTTGCAGGTCCTTAGTATGTCACAGGGTTGCTCGATCAAACCACTAGTTATCTTCTCCGTTGCTGTTGGTTTTAGGGTTTTTTTCCAGGGTTTCCTCCATTTCCCTTTTTGGAACCTCCAAAAGTGGCGATCCTTTCAATGGAAACCACCAGGAAATTGCACTTTGTGAAGGGAAAGCCAGCTACCCCGTAGTAACCCGGAAGGCCTTGGACTTCATTGAGCCTGCCGTGGTCTTCATTAGCGACTTGATCTTCTCGGCGCCTCGCTGGTGTCATGACACGGTGTCACCCTGTCATACTTGTTCCTGGGTCCATTCCAGTGAACCTTTTGTTGGGGTTCTCAAACTTACGTTTGCAGGCCCTTCCTTTTAAACCTCGATTTGGAGGGTAAATCTGAAAATGTCACTTTAATGGACCCAGGATTTGGTCCGACCCCCCCCCCCAACTCTGTTGCAATGGATTGGGGCCTGTTTTTCGGGATTGGAGCAAGAGCAATTTCTCGAAGATTGGTCACCGCAGGTCAATAGCTAAGCTGAGCGGGCCAAGCAAGAGCCCAGCGACCCAGAGACTGTGAACCTCTTTCTTTTGTTCACGCTCGTACCGCCGGTGTTTTGAAGAAACATGCGAACTCGAATCACAACAACAAGTAATCCGATCCACTCTCGTTGTTGCCCAAGGGGTGGTGGGGGGAAGCGACATGCCTGACCTAATTTTAGTTTCCTTTCTTCCATGGTTGTTGGCACTTTGAGTGCAAGCCTGCTTTGAGGGGACTCGGGCCTTCAGGCTTCAAAACTCATGCAGGCCATGCCTTTTTCTTTTCTTTTTTTTTTTTGGGGGGGGGGGTAAGTATCCCATATACATCTGGGCATTTGTGTATGTATATATATATATATGTACATACACGCGCTACTTGTAAGCATGTGTGCGTGCATACGTGTTATAGCCACCATGCAATATGGCGCTTGTAAACCCCCCCCCCCCCAGCCGGGCCTGTTCCGGTGGAGTCGCCTGGATCAGCTCAGGTTGGCTTCGCAGAAGGACTGGCCTCCATCGTGAGGAGTGTGGACACCAAGGCCCATCACAAGCCTCCTTGGCCAAATGATTTGGTTGGGTGGGTGGGGTTGAGTTGGGTTGGGTTGGGTGGGTTGGGTTGGGTTGGTTATGTTGGGCGGGTTGGTTGGGTGGGTTGGGTGGGTTGGGTTGGGTTGAGTTGGGTTGAGTTGGGTTCGGTTGGGTGCATGGGTGTGTGGGTGGGTGGGTGCCCGCCGTTTCCAGCCAGCAAGTGGTTCATGCTGTGGATGGGTAACGTCCTGAAACACGACTCGGGGTATCATCCATCCCAGGTGCAAAGAGGTCCACGGGAACTCGAGCTAAGAACTCTCCGCTACTCACACACAACCCGCTTAACCGCTTAAGGGACTTCCTCACAGGAGTTCTGAACCGCTTGCGAACTGGGCCGTTGAAGGTTTACACTTTTCGGGATTTGCCAATGGTGGGCAGTCCACTGGCTGCAAAAGCAGAGGAAGCAACCTAAGTTTGCCAGTTCTCCTATGCCCTTTGCGGGAACAAGTGATTTTGTCCGGGTGACCTGTGCCAAGCTGCCATGCGCCGATTCAATCCATTCGAGTCGCATTTGACGGGCCCATGTTGATGCGGGCAGCCCTTGCCGGACCTGTTTAACTTGTCAAAAGGGTGAAGGCCGCTATCCTTCAAAACCGATTGGTCACAGTACTCACTTGTTTGGAAGATGATTTCAACGGCACAGGGAGCGTCCCCCTTCAAGTTCAGCCGGCAATAGGTGATGGATCACAATAATTCCCCCATGACAGCGCACTCGAGGCGCTTTAGGATGCTCCAGGGTTGAGGGCAAGGGCCCACAGTAGCGGATAATTTTGATGAATTATAGAGGTCTCGTGACAACGATGCAAAGGCCACACATGGGCCTTTGAAGTAATCCTTTGTGGGGGTGCAACAGGACACCGCACAAGCCAACGAGCGTTGCAGAAGTCAACAAGCTGGGCCCAGGTTGGTGTGGATGTCCATGAACGTGGGCCGAGTGCTGCGAGAGGGGCCGAGAACCCCAACAGCGGATGCGACGCCGGTCGCAGTGCCCGAGGTGCAGGTGGGAAAGACGTTGCCTGGGATGGCTTTCAGAAGTTGTCCTGACAAGTGGTGGGTGGCCGTTTGTGGTCGGCCTCAGTCAAACGAATGACTAGGCTCATTTTCTCGGCCTGCTGATGACCCCTGCAAGACACCATATGCCGATCTTGCCCTTCGTGCGCGTTGAAATGGTAACCGCAAGGCTCATCCAGTGGGTGCCTTTGATCATTAACTTCTAGGGACGTCACAAGTAGATGAGTTTTGTGACCTTGCCTATGATGAGGGTAGCCCATGAAGGCTTTGTGTGCAATGTCTAAGGGGTTGTCCATGCGGTACACACAAGGTTGTGCAAATTTGAAGTGAGTTTCCGTTCAGCGGGGTATGCCTCCAAATAGTGGATCTCTCAAATCGGATGATTTCCATGTCGTTTCGCTTCAAACCAACCCCAAAAGTGAACCCCTAAAACCAAAACACAGAACATCACTTAGAGAGGCTAGTTGCAAATGACGTGCCCTTCCTACCTGATTCTGGGTCAGAGGGAACCCAATCGCCACTCGTTCAGGCAGACTCTTCGCTGCCCGCCTGGCGCGAAGATGGAACCTTGGCCACAGCATGTATCCATAGCCAATGTGTTCAACAGTTTCATCAGACCGCAGCAAGGGAGCAACTAACACTGAAGGGGACTGAAGTGCCATTTGTCTGCTCTGGAGTCTGGTGTAGGGGTCTATGGGCAGGACACCTCTTGATATTCTGCACAACCTATAGCCAGTTCGCCCAGGGCGACACCAACTCAACCCTGCTCCTTTAGTGGGGCATCCATGGCATCCCCCACTTCCAATAGGTGAATTCAAAGCAACTGGCACAAATTCGGGCAAGGAACTGCCTGGGCTGTTCGGAGTATTTGTCAGATTCACTTCGATTAGGAAAGGTCACTGTAGCTGTTTCGCAAGAAACAATAGCATGATCAACTCCAATGGCCATGGCAAATGAGCAGCTCATGTGTTTTGTCCCCATGCTAGTTTCAAATGGATGTCTATTTGCACATATATGCACGCTTTCTAGGCCCTTTATCTACGAAACTTCCCCGAAAGAAAGCAAATACCCGAGGGCGATTGCTCGGCACAAATCCGAATATGAGCACCTTTTGCCGAATGAAACACAAGGAGCGCTGCAAAGACGCTGAGCATTTTCTTAAGTGTTGCAAATTGTTTCGGTGTTGGATGCCGCCAGATCAAGCCAGGAGCCCACTAGCCCTAACACATCGTCTGCCGGAGAATGTGGAAATTTGTTGACACATGGGCCCAAGCAGTTTCCTTTGCCCCCATGGGAGTTTTTGTGCCAACGCCTGGCGCATCATGGGCCTCACATTGGCTTTGAGCGCAGGCTGTGTTTTTGTGTGTTGCCGGTCCCTCCCTCAGTTGGGAGCAAGTTACCATTTTCACCTCTCCGTTGCCCAAGTTTGCTTCATGTTTAGTCATCCCAAAAGGTGGTAGCCTTGCTTTTTGTTCCTTGCCCAGACCTGGTTGCCAGAGTTTTTCGCAGGAAGTCCTGCGTCAGCACTGCGGGTTGTTTTGCTTCTTTGGTCGCGTAAGTTTCCCTGGCGAGGCGCCTCTGTTATTCTGGGTTCTGCCAACGACCCAAGGGGGGAAATGCAAAAAGCAAAAGAAGCAGGAGTAGTGCTTGTGGATGTGAAATGTTTGTGAGGTCGGCAAGATGCATCGCAACATGAAGTGCATCAGATTAACGTGTATTGTTGACTAGGCGACTCCAAAATTGTCGGCTTGGGCCACAAGAGCGACAGCAGAAGACTACGGGGTCGGCAGCTTGTACTAAGGTACTTGGAATTTGTTCGATGGAGCGGGGTAACTCCAGTGCAGGTGGATCGAACAGCCGCGCCGAGAAACACGTGCGTTGCGGCGCTCCAGTGGAACTGATCAGGGTTCTTCCATTTGCTTGAGCTGTTTCTCCAAGTTTGGGAGGCCACTTGCTTTGAACGGTACATCTCCTTCCATTCGCTTAAGATGGTTTTTCCCTCCTTGAGGGAATCTATCACTACTGGATTTGTTGTTTATTCCTCCAAGGGGGCGTATGCGCAAATGGAAGTCTCTGATTTGCTAGTGGCGCCAACAGGCTTAAATGAAGGCGCGCCTGGGGCAGAATCCAGGCACAGATGGGCAGGAGCTTCAATGTGGCTGACCTGTGAGGTTCACATGCAACTGGGCCGGCAGCGCGTTGCCCAAAGGCGGCCAGGGGGTTTGGCCAAACGTTTGAATAGACCTGTTGGCACGCCCTTGTTACAAACAAAAATCAGGTTAGGTCCTATTGCATGTGAGGGGCGTCAAGTTGTCCTGCGCCAGCTGTGCCCAACCTGGGTGGCGAGGAGTAGAACTTCGAAAGACTTTCGACGATCAAGCCGCAACATCGAGAGTTAGCTCCAGCCATCTCTTTCTCTTGCAAATTGAGATTGCCGGTTCTTGTCGCATGGCAATTGAATAATTGATGGCAAGGTTGGAATGGGGTTCAGAAAGTCTGCCGACTGTAGCCAGACAAGTCTGTGCAAATAGCGAGACAAAGCTTATTTGATGGCAAATTCTAGCTGTTCCATGACACAGGTTTCTTATTTCTTATTTGGGGACTCCCTGTTTGGCTGCGTCATCTTTGGTGTCAAAGGGAAACCAACAAGGAAAACCACCATTTCCGGGGTTCTCCTAAAAAGACCGACCCATTCTCAGCTCTGCGGCCATGGAGCCTCTGCCGGCCGCCCGCGTGGCCCGCGTGGCCCGCGTGGGGATCGCGCCGCAGCAGGCGCCAACGCGGCGCCCAGAAAGCCGCGGGGCGCGGCGGGCGCCCCACGCCGCGGCGCTGGTGGGCGGCTGGGCCCTGGGCTTTCGGAGGCCGGGACATGCGTCAGATCTGATGGCAAAATGCCGCACCAGTTTGAAACCAGGGGTGAAACCATAACGTTTGTTGGGATTTACAAGGGAATGAAGCATCATTCCAGGGTTTCTTTGGGTGGTGCAGGGTTTCGTCCATCGACGGTAGTTGTGCTTCTTGGGTCAGTTTTTTTTCAGAAAAATGGATGGACCTGGTTTGGTGTGGGTCAAGTTGTTTAGCCAATGCCGTCCATTGTTCCAAAAGGGCTCCGTGATCGGAGCTCTCCCGGCTTTTGACGCGTCATAATGTTTTTCTCCTATCTTTCAATCACGGGTGACGGTCGGTTTGGGTTGCGACCCAAAAAGCCCACGTTAAGCATGGCTTACCCACCAACCACCAAGTCACATGGGACCTGTCGTTCGGGGGGGGGTCCTGGTTTGGACCTTTATATAAAGGAACCATTTCCCTCCAAACAAGGGTGGCTGTCTTCACGCGGGCAGGTACCCTCGAAACACCTCTGTCAGGGTGTGCGCATCGTTTTGCCTGATGGTGTGTGTATCCTAGGGCCGGTCGGACAGGTGAGATGGGGATCACTAAGAAGAACTCTGTTTAGGCGGGACCTTGCTCCGCGCAGTTGCGCCGACACATCCCCCCCACCCACCCACGCCCGCGAACCCACACACCACGCGCCCACCCAAGCACGCGCTCGCTGCGCTCGCTGCGAACCAGAGGCTTGCAAGGTTGCTTGCCCAACCCCCCTGACACTTTGAGCATGCACTCATGCACTCTTCCCCTGCATCCTCACAAACTTCGCCAGCATCTCCGGCATTCCTGCATCACCAGCATCAGGGCGTTCCAGCATCCCTTACATCCCCTGCATCCCCTGCATCGCTCAAACGCTTCAAAAAATGGCCCCCCTGAGAGTACGTACGTTTTGGCGGTATCGGCGGACATGGCGGGCAAGTCTGCGATCGAGTGAGCGGTTTTTTCTTGCGCAAGTGTGCGGAAAACATCGCAAATACCGTGTTTTCTTCAGGTGGGGCTGGGACGGGCTGCCTGGGATGCACTTTTCGATCTGATTGGCTTTCGGTGTGAGACCCGTGCAGCGCGCGCGCGTGCGCGAGCGCTTGTGCGCGCCGGACGCAAGCGCCGGACGCAAGCAGGCACACATGCGCTCAAGCTTGGTGGGGATGCTGGCGACTGTCCGGGGCGATTTGCACGGTATTTACAGTGCTTGTTGAAGGTCGGGCAACGTGGCATCAGAAGCCCGTCGCAAGGCCAGGGAGGCCGGGGATGTTTTGGGGTCCAAGTGTTTGGGCCGGCCTGCGTGCAGGTGATGCAGGCAATGCTGAGGAGGAGCTTGGGGTGCAACAAAGCACGTTGGCGGTATACCCTACGGGTAGGGTTGCCCTCGCTCTTCGAGCTCGAAAACACACAGCGCAGCTGGATTTTCTGGGGGTTATGTTTTGTTGGTTGGTTGGTTGTTTGTTTGTCCTGTCGTTCCTTCGTTTCTTGGCCCTTTACGCAGCGAACCCTTAGTTGGTGGTTTGGATTGGCGGTTTGGGATTTGAACCCCTGCTGGGGTTCCCCTCCGCCACCAAACCACCAATCCAAACCACCGACTGGAGGGAAACTGATTCAACTTTTGAAGGCTAACCCAAACCACCGATTTGAGGTACAACTGGTCAAAAACTCGCCTTCGCGCAAGTTGGAGCCTCAGGCCATCCCGAGTTCGAGCCAGAGCCGAAGCCGGGGACGCACCGCGGAACCTCTATGAGCTGCGGCCCCAGTCTGGGTTTAGAGCCTCCAAAAGTAGCAGTTTTTATGGAGACAAACTATATAGTCAATTGCAACTTTTCAAGGGGAAATGAAGTGAGAGAGGTTGCTTGTGATGCCTTGGGCCACGTGACCTGGACAGCCCTTGGCCCTTCCGTAATTCTGGATGTCTACAGGGATTGTGTTAGGGGGAGACTTGGTAGGTCGTGCCAACCATTGGCGCAGCCACATGAATAATGTTTACAATCCATCGCTTGGAGGTGGATCCCTCCTGACCTGTTTTCTCATCCTCTTCGTCAGTCATAGCCCACGATTTGTGACAGTCCTAACTTGCCCCATGCAGAGCACAGCAACCCGAAAGTGCCTATCAATAAATACCAGAGTTCGCGACCATGGGTCAGAACCTTCCAGTGGCCTTCCATAGCAGTTGCTATGGGGTTGAATTATCATGTAACCTTATAAGACATTGCAGTAAACTGGGAGGTCCGCTGGGCAATCTTGAAGTTACTTCCCCGGAAAGCAACAGAAGAACCCCCCTACTTGAGAGCACTCGATTCCCCAAATTTTTACATGGACCTGCAAAGTGATATAGTCATGGGAATAACCCACGGAAAGTGTGATGGTCCAGAACCAGATCCTGATATGTTTCTTCTTCATCTTAAATTTCACGTGTTTGTCTATGTGTCCCTTTTTGGGGTGATGTTTCAACGGGAACCCCGCCACACGGGCACGCAGTGTATTCCGACCAGCGAGCGAGGCTTTTGGGCCTGTCCCCTCTGGAGGCGGCGGTTGCGTCGGCGGAGAGCATCAAGCAACGCCAGCGCGTGCTGCTGAAAGTTTGCCATCCGGAGCCTCAACTATTGGGTTCAATTTTGCTGAGGAACCCAGACAACAAAGAAGCAACATTATGCCAACAAAGGAATGCCGGCCGAGGCAAGACTCACAAGCTCGCCTGGAGAAAGCCAAGGCGGCTCCCCTTTGCTTCTTAAGCAGGGTGGCTGGAGCAGCCGGGCGAATTTTTATCGCTCAACATGGAACCCCAAAGAGGGTCCAGGACATCCCGCCCAGACCGCGCAAAATGCAGAACGCATCATCCCGCAAATGGGACCCCCCAACAGAAACTCTCACTTCCTGCGTTCATAGACTTAATACTTCTTAGGTTTGGACCATATTAGTGGCATACAATCAGTTTGGCCTTTGCTTGGGCCATCCACTCGGGAAGTGAGAACTTCAGATCCCCACTGGTCGCAAATTCTCGAACTTAGGACATTGCGGGCGACGGGGGGGCGGCGGTCACCGCACTTCTCACGGAGGCAGTGAATGCGCTGAGCTCGGCGCAAGCGCGTGCCGAGCAGCTTCGCCAGAGATGCTACCTCCATTGCTGCCCTCATATTCCTTCTTGGAGGGAGGCTTCCTTTCAGAACCACCTACCCTTCCACAAAAGCTACGCTTTTTTCCCATGACCACTCGGGTTTGGGGTTGCCGCACAAAAGTTTCGCAGCCTAGAAGCCTACACAAGATCTACGGCGTGCGACAATTTTAGACACCGAGAAGCAGAGGATACCATGTTGGTTGGATTGCCAACTTGTGTTGCAAACACACGAATTTGTGCTGGTGTGTTCTTGGCTGTATCCCCAACAAGCGTGCTTCCAAGGGAGTTCAACTGTCAACTTTGGGCCTAGATGAAACGTTACTCAGAAATGAGAACCTTCCGGTTACTAGGGAGAGGATCCAACCAGGGGAATTGATAAGTCTCGTTGGATCACTTGAAGTAAGCATTAGCTATGTCTTGGTTTCGAGTGAATTATTTCGGCTTTGGGGTCAAGCGACCTTGCCAGTGATACTTGTTTTTGTTGGTGATTGCTTATGTATGCTTATGCAACTTATGTCACTTATGTCAGGTTGGCGAAGGATTGGCATAGGGATTGCTCACCACCTCCCTCCCCGCTCTCCCATTCATTATCCAGGGTTTTCATTGTTCTC